GAGAGAGAGAGAGAGAGAGAGAGAGAGAGAGAGAGAGAGGGCTTCATTGTGAGCTGCAATTGATCAGATCAACATACCTGAGCTTTGATGGGATTATTAAACCATTATTTTAATATTTTCTTTAATTAATTGATTTAGTAAAGCATATTCTTTCTTATATATTGTTATAATTATTAATTACTGTATTGTATTGGTCATCTTCTTCTCTAGTTCGCATCTATGTAGTTTATGGTTTTACGGAACTTTTACCTAGTTTTTCTGTAATGAAAATTCAAAAATTCAAAAAGATCACATAAAATTTAATAATAATATAATATCATAATATCATAATATCATAATAATATCATAATATTGAATGTGATCCTGATTTTGATTGCCATTAGTTGACTGGGGTCCTTGGAGTCCGCAGATCGAAACCAGGGATTTCCGACCCTTCCCCTGTTTATGGGTTTTCCGACCCTTCCCCTGTTTCTCGCATCTTGCTTATATATAGTAAACTGTTTTTTGCTTTGCAGCGCAGGTAGCGCCCCCCCCTGGATAGCAGCAGCATGTCAGCACGGCACGTCAGCACGGCAGCACGGCAGCACTGCAGTATGGCTACGCTTCGTATATTATCGTAGATTCCAGATTGGTTTGCTTCCTTTGTGGCGCCGCTATTAAAAACAAAACCGTGTAACAGAGGTTGAGAACGATGTTCGTCGTGCGTGATTGGTCACTCGGGAGGCCCTTAATCAAGCCCATGATAAGGGGGGTGATAAGAAATCCGCTAAGGGGATATGACTCTGTTTGGGATGGATCTAATTATGAAAATTTGTTGTCGCGGAACAGCGCGCTCGCTTTCCACTGCTACCCGTTGCCGGCTCATCCATTTCTGGGAAGGGCGCGCGTGCGTGTTCAGCCGACTATCCAAACTCGGCGAAGGGCGGACAATTCTTTTTGGCAGGGGTTCGCTGCAGCAGGGTTCTGCTCTCACAGTAGCGCTTTCGGTTGCCTAATGAGTCGTCACGATCGACATAGCCAATCTTCGTTCATTCACCCTCGCAAGTTATCTAGAGGCCACCGACCAGCGCTTTCCAGCTGTTACGTTGACTATTTTAATTATAATTGTAGTAGTTCTAATTATAATACTCCTTCCCTGATAAAGGATCTCTTCTTAGAAGGTAATGGGCCCCAGACAGGGTGTCTCCCACTGTCTCCGTTATGGAACGGCAGCCACCGTCATCGTAGGAAGATGCAGCGAAGACAGTCCGTATGTGCATCGGACACAGCTGTTTGTACGTGTTGTTGCGGGATTGCGTCTCGGAGGAGTGCGGTGGGAAATAAGCGAAAGGTAGTCGAACTTTCCTTAAGAAATGAGGCGAAAGGTAACTGTAACGGTTTCATGATGTATCAGAAAAGGTTTAGGATGAAGGGAATTCGGGGAAGTCTTATCGATGGACAGGCGAGCGGCCATTGCCCGGTTCTCTCCGGGGAGAAGAAGATGGAAGTTATGTGCAAGTCCGTGTATCGACATGGTCGGGAAGGGTGGGTTGAAGATACTGGCTGGGCAGATGTTGCGTATGTAAAGGACAAGGAGGGCTCCTACGAAAATGACTCCTTATTCAGTAATGAGACCGTAGGAGAGGGGGAAGGAAGGGATAGAGGGGAGGAGAATGCAGCAGCGGCGGGAGCAGCAGCAGCAGCAGCAGGAGGGGGAGGTGGAGGAGGAGAGGAAAAGGAGTATCGAAGAATGTACGTTGATGTTGAGTACGATGGGATGGATGAAGAAGGGAACGGTTCGGAATCGTCATCGGGATTCCGAAATCGCAGAGGCTCGGGGGAGAGGTTGTCGAGCCTCTTGTTTGGAGAAAGGGGGCTGCTGTTTGTTGTGTCTGTCCTTGTAGAGTGGGCTAGGAGAGCGGCAAAGGCGTTAAGCACCTACTTGCTGTTGTATCTGCCGCCGTCTGTTCCTCGAGACGGAATATCCTTGGCAGTCAATGGAACGCTGATTCTTGGCGCGCTTTGGCTCTCTAAGACGCTCTTCCAAATTGCAATAACGTTTGCACTTCTGACTTTCATAGCTGTTGCAATTGTTCGTGTGATATGGGCTGCGCGAACGGCTTCCGCGTATGTGTTCTCGAACGGAAGGAGTCGCTTCGACGGATACGATGAGGGCATTAAAGGGGATGGCGAGTGGACGGAAGTGAACCCTGGAACGAGTGCAGGCTGGCGATCACCGGATGGCGTCGGAGGGAGGACGACACAAAGCTTCTCCTCCGGAAGGAGGCGGCCGAAAGGGGCTAGCGATGGGCGTCGCATGTCAGGTTTCGAACAAATGCGCGATAGGGTTATGCAAGGCTTTCAAGGGGAGTTTTGGGGAGGGAGAGAAGCAGAGGAGGGGGAGAATAATTGGACCAGTTTTGGGCAGGATGCTGGGAGCAAGTCCCAGTTCGGAAGAAGAGGCTATGGTGGCGGCGATGATCGCGACGACGATGACGACGACGAATGGGACTTCGATTCTACGAAACCGGGTTTCGATTCTCCGAGACGAGATTCTGAGGGTGGCCAATGGAATGACCAAACTACTGGCAGTTTCGCTTACTGACACTGGAAAAAAAAAAAACAGAAAAAAAGCAAGAAGTTTGCCTGAAGTTGCCCTTTTGTTTTTCTCGGCGCGTAGACCACCACCACCTTTTCCACTGTGGGGAAAAGTGGGAATATAGCCTACACCGCATTCTTCGGGGGCCGGGCTGAACGGCGCCTGCCATAGATAATTTTCATAATCGGGCGCCGTTTCGTTTCGGCCTCTGGAACGTGTGGGTATCCATTCCACAGCCGATTTATGTTAATTTTGTGAAAGTTTGTGGTCCTTTAGTGTTTTTTTTTTCATGTGATAAAAATAGCCTTGTGCAGAATAGCCCCCTGGTTTCGCATTTGAGGGTTCGCAAACGGAATGACCAGACTAACTGCAGCTTCTTCTTCTTCTTCCTCTTTTTTTTTTTTTTTTTTTTTTTTTTTTGTAAACAAAAAACATGGGCCCCATCTATTCTGGGGGGCAACAGTCTGGTTGCTTTTTACCAGCAAGCAGAAACAACAGAGGGAGAAGGATAAAAAATCAGCAATAGTTTCGTACCCCTGTTGCCCTAGACGCGGTGCCGGGGGGGGGCGCATGTGGCCGCATGCCTGTCCCCAGACTCAGTGCAGCTTCACTTAGCGGAAGTTTGCATTTTTGTTTCTCACTGAGCACTTGAGGGTAGCAAATAGAATGATGAGACTGACGGCAGCTTCAGCTTTCAGTTCCTTTCTTTTTTTTTTTTTTTTTGGCGGCTCGACTTACTGATATGTGCCACAACAGTTTGTATGTGGAAAATATTATGTAAATAGTTCGATTAAAATTTAAAATTCATTAAAGTGACTCCAATCTTTTCTTTTAGGGGAGGGGAAGGAGAAGGACTAAGGACGTACTCATACTGGGACTTGTTTGACTACTTCTGGACGTAATTGCAGTCAGATTCATCTGCGTAGGGTGTTAGTTGCAGTCACATACAGGGGTGGGGGAGGGGGAGTGGGCGGGGCAGGGCGGGGGCGAAAGTAGTGACCAAGTCACCGAACTTATGACCGGCCGACCTTACTGTTTACTCTTGGA